ATGTACATACTTTTGGAATGAGTATTTCAGGTGCTAAATAAATAAATTTGTAGTTCAACTTGAAGATGTGTTAAAAAGAAGACCTACAGTCAAAATGCTGTCCAGTGTTGATAGTCTCCTTTTCTTTTGTGACATACACAAAATAGCCGTTTGATGAACTGGGAGTTTTGTCAGCGTTTCACCTGGGAATATTTCTGCACATAGGTTGTTGTTAGTGAATGTAGTCCAAGATAACGAACTATTTTCTGGCTTTATTAGTTACGTAGAATGATGCTAAACTGGAGCTAAAAAGGGTAAATGTGTTGTTTGTTGTTTTTTTTTTTAAGTCACTGAACCTGGATAACTAGAGCTCAAGAATTCTGCGTAGGCTTCCTGGGCCAGAATTGCTGTCTTTGTATTAGTGACCCTCAATGGATTTCTCTTCCATGAACTCATGCACTCTCTCTTTAAACACATGTAAACTCCTTGCAACTACAGCACCCAGCTTGGGAAGATTTCCTCAGCTCTGTTCAGTATAACATTCTTTTGCTTGATTTGAAGATGGCATTTTGTGCCTTCGCTAGGTAAACCCTGCCTTGTTCTTTATGCAACTTCTTGAGGCTACTCCTGACATTATGGACTTCAGTCATTTTCTTTGTTGTCTTCACAGTGAATCTTAAGTTACCCCTTGGATTACTTGATCATGCCTTGTACAGATGCCACTTGGCATCCTTAACATTCTGTGGCAGCGTTTCAGTTCTGTATCCTTTTTTGGGGGAAGAAAGTGCATGTGGACTGCATGCAAAATTCAAGATAGAAGTGCATGTTAGACTTATACGATAACTAGAAAGTTTTTTGTTCTGTTTAATAACTCTTAACATTCTGTTAGCTCAAAGTTTAGTAGCAGTCAAAAAAGCAAGTTGTTTTCAGGAACTGTTTATTGTAATCTCAAAATCTTGCCCTTATTGGCAATTATTTGCCTTTTTTTGTTTTATATGGAAAGTTAGGACTTTTTTTTTCCCCTGTATGTGTCACTGTCAATAGATTATTTTCATCTTCTGTCTTATTGTCCAAGCAGTCTGTCTCATAAATCCTTCTGAGTTCCTCTCAGTCAGCCATTCTCTTTGTTCCCCTCAATTAGTTAATATCATCAGCAGATTTTTGTTCCATTTTTCACTCCCATTTTCAGGTCACTTATGAATATATTGAACAGTATTGAGTCCCAACACAAATTCCTGTAGATAAGTCAGCACTGCTTATGTAAAATATTTCTTACTAAATAGATTTGATGGCCATCCCTAATGGCCATACTTAAAAAAATGTGTTGAAAAATTGGTATGAGTTATTGAAACTTCTTTGAAAATAATTTCAGGTTTGAAGGAATGTTTAGCTTATAGAAAGAGAATATTGAAAGGGGACTTGTTTTGGTGAATAAATATCTTCTCAGGGGAGACAATATTAGGTATGGAAAAGCGTCTTTAATCTATCTGCTTAAATGAACAAGTAGACTGATAGATCTGTGTTAGGAGTAAATAGTGAACTTAAAACACTGAATGAGAGTGATGAAGTCTGAAGATTTGCAGACTTCATGGGACTCCCGTTTCATGCTGGACAGTTACTTAGTTATGAGATACCAGTTCTCATTCCATCTGGGGCAGTCAGAGATTGTTTGAGATGCCCTGGAGAACATGCTGGGGAGTTTAAACTGCTTAAGTTGTCCAAATACTCTGGTTTATAGAATTGGCTCACAGCCATGTATAAGAAATATTCTAGTGCTATCCAGTTATTGGGACATCACTCCAAGCCAGTTTTAATTACATTGAAAATGAAAATATTTCTGAAATGGACGAAAGTGTTACAAGCCCAATAAAAGACATAGGTAATGAAAGTGAAAGGAAAAAATCTGCATGTTGCTGAGCTACGGGGTTGAATCTGAAATTCCCACTGGTGTCTAGCCAACCTCCTTTAGACTTTTTGTCTTCCTACGGGTGTCATACCTCCGGTTTCATACATCAGAGAGCCTCTCTGTCGTCATTGCAAAGACTAAGCAGTGTTTCTGCTCTTTTAAAGTAAGGTTTTCCCTGCTTCCTAAGACATGCAGTTGAACCTTTGTGTAACCACGTGAATACAGGAGACAACAACTTGTATGTTTATGACCTCAAGCTATAATATGAGAGAGTAATATATTCCTTACTATGTTTAAAACTACTATGTTAAAACATCCAACAGTTGTTTTCTTTTCAGACAGATAATCCAAGTTTGGTTTTTAGGGAAAAAAAAAAAAAGAGAAATAAAATCGTGAGTTTGGCAGAGCTGTGGTCTTGACTGTTGGAAGTGTTTAGCCACAGTGTGATCTAAGAAAAAAATAGCGGTTGCATTGTTTTGAAAAGCCATGGGTGCAGTGGCTAGCTACAACTTCTTCCTGTCTTCACTGTAGGTAATCTTTTAGGTTGTATCTGTGTTATAGAAAAGACAAAGATGGGTATGTTCTGTTACAATCTACAGGTTTCACTGAATTGTGATGTTTTGTTGTTTTGTTTTTTTTCTTGGAATATATAGCAATGGGGATAATGCTGAAAACTTTGAACGGTAATAGAACAGTTTCAGGAAATAACTCCTATGAAATACGTGTATAAGAGAATAACGAGTTGTCTTCTGAAGTAACCTCAATCTTGTGCGATAGCCTTTGGTCTAAATCTATAGGTGGAGCTCCACTGTTTAGTTCCTGATACACGGATAATGTATCAGTTAACAGCATTTTTCTTTATTGTTCTGAAAAATGTAGAGATATTTCAAAAAGTCAGAAGAGCAACCTAAGTTTTAGGAGGTTTGCAGTTTCAGGAGTATTCCTATGGTACTTTTGAAATCAAGGAGGAGTACAGGAGAACTGAAGCTGTTAGAACTCTTCTCCATTGTGCTCCAGTTCTCTCCTCCTGTATAAACTCACCTGATGTGCTTTTGCTAATGATAGGAAAATGTTTTGTATGTGATTTTTAGACAACATAGTGTTGTCAGAGGTGTCGTTCTTTGGGGAGCGATAAACAAGAATGTAATTGAGAGAACTGGAAATAATTAGAGAAACGGGAAGACCGTTTATAGTAGTGCAATGGTGGATCTAGTGCAAACTGAGTTCTGTTGTGCGAATTTGAAAAAAATAGGTGTAGTGAAATTTTGCAAATCTGTGATTCTGCCAATATACTTGCCAATCACTTCACTATAAAAGTTCCAAATTCCCTGTGTTTAATTGGTTTTGATGTGCCAGCCTCTGTGTTTGGTGAGTGTAGGGAGGTAATGTTCATAGTGACCCATGTTTTAAAAGTGGGCAAACACTCCAGAGTAGCTAGTTACCAGTAGCGTGATGTTCTTCCAAAGCAATACACATATGGCTAATGCATTGTTTGGTTTTTTTGCCCCTGAGTCTTAGTCCGTGGGTTATGTGTTGTGATCTACCTGGATATGCTGTGGTAGCATGTTACCAAAGGAGCGCAAGGAGGGTATGGAGTATGAATGTGACCTAAGGATATTGGTATGCTAAAGTATTTTCAGGAAGTTTTGATTATTTAGTTATAGAAGTTAAATGTGCATACACACCACGCACACTGAAGAACTTATAAGTGACTCTTCTGTGGTAGGCATCAGTCTACTGTGTGCGTTTTCTTCTGACAAAACCAGTGGTTAATTGTAG